ATCTTTCCCGATCCTTTGAATACTTTCAACTTCGGATTGAGAAGATAACGAGGTTGGTGTAGTCATTCTTGGCATATACTTGGGAATACACGACCTTGAAAAAAAAAATTTAACTACGGGGACCAATATGAACTTTTCAGAAGTTCAGGGGGCAAACGGAACTTTTACAGAAGTAAAGAGGGGCTAAACTGAAATTTTTCTAAGAAAAAACAGGACCAAAAACACAAATTTTCAGAAAAGTAGGGGCAAAAAAATGCACTTTCTGGAAAAAACAGTGGCCAATCTGCAGTTTTCAGAACTTTGGTCAACTGCCGATGTCACTGCTACAGTGTTGCTACAGTATCTGATGACGTCACGATGACGTCACTACTACAGTACCGTCTTCTCCGGCGAACATAGTTTTTCCGGCCAACTTTCCGATGATTTTGACCAACTTTGACCGGTGATTTGGAGGCCTTCCAGTGGTCAAAAAATTCAAAAAAATATATTTTCGAAACCCTCAGAACAAGACCTTTCCAACGGTGTACTCGGAAACGTTTTTTGAGACGAAAAAATTTCGACCAAAAAACAGAGAATGTTTCCCCGGAGCTTAACCAAGCTCCGATACCACTTGTTGGGTTTGAAACACACTTTTATTCAGAACTAGAACAAAGGGAGGAGCTTACTAGCTCAATATTACAAGAAAAGAAAACAACCCTCTATTACAAATACTCACTCTAAGTATTTCTCTATCACTCTCTGTTTTATAGTGTTCTACAACTGAAGTTAGAGCTTTTATTTATACCTAAAAACAAGCCTACAATTACTACTACTACCATTTATTGTGTTCATTATGTGAACATACGAAGTTGTCATTTTAATGTCAACATAGGTGGTGGTGTAGTTACTCATGTCAGGTTCACACCCAAGTAGGTTTACACTCACACAATGTTCAGGAAGAGCGTAATTAAATCAAAACAACACAAATAATATCCCATTTAGTGATTTACTATGCAAAATTATATATTAACATGAAAGCATGTGACGATCCTGCATTGATGAAGGATTATGGTGATGATAATGATAGTATTGCTCTTGTTTCTTGAACGTTATCTTCTTCAAGTGGAATTCCTGATTGAAATAACACCCGATTGTCTTCTTGAAAGGCCAAAGAGAAAGTTGCTAATATCTTAATCCATGGGCTTACAACAGATTTAATCATGTCAAGAATTTATTGAAATTACCAAATTAACTTGCTCCACGTCATATTTCTCAAACACAAATGACAGTTTAAACAATGTGTTCAAACTGAAATAAATATCATTCATTTCAGGATGAGAAGCATCTCCAACAAGAAACTCATAAACATTTTCATTAACGTCAATAGAACTACACCCAGGCTCCTTCCTTGTTTTGAGTCTTTTGTATCTAAATCTTTTCTAAAACTTCCAAGAACATATTTTAGCTTGCTGCATGTCCTTCGGATCAGATTGCATGTGATTGATATATAGTCCATAGATTTAGTTTTCATGGATTCGTCAAAACTTCTAAAAAAATGTGATTTAATAATAATCATGGACTCATTTATTCAAAAATGCATCTAAATGTCCTCAAATAACTAAGTCCGATTTTTCTAAGTTTAGGAATGGCATGAAGAGATTTTCTGGAAATTTTGAGATTTAAGTGTATTTTCTTTTATTTAATACAAAATTATGAAGTTCTAGAGTGAAAAATCAAAAGAAAATAGTTCCTTAAGTCAAAAAGCACTCAACTTTACAGGGCTGCTATTATGAGTCCTAGACAGTTCAAATAAATTTTCATTAGATTTGGACACTGATATTTATTTCAATTTTTGTGCCTTTAATCATTATAAAATTTGAAAACCAGGCTAGGCTCATCCAAATAACTTGAAAATTTACAAATATCACAATTTAGGTTAGATGTGATCGTAATAACATTTTTCAGGATTTTTCAGCACTGTTTGATATTTAATCATATTTTTATTGATTAGTTAAAGTAAAAATGAAAATAAATTTAGTACATATCCATAAATTCTCATATTTTAACAGGAGGACCATATATTCTGGAAAGTTATAGAAATAAATTTTGGAAAATTTTAGATATTGTTTCGGTAGTTTTAGTAATTACCTGAACTTTCTTAGAAATAAACATGGGTAATTTATAAAACCGGGTTTTCCTATATCAAATGACGTTTTAGTATTTTTTTTTTTTTTTCCAACTTCATGACACTAAAAAACAGACGTAAAAATATTTTGGGAATTTTTCTTAGAACATTTGATATTTTTCCATGAATTAAGAAAATTTACCTAAAAGCTCATGACTACCGTTAGAACCAAAAAATAAAGTTTAATAATTTTTGGATACTATTTATTGGATATTGTTTGACAATTATTTTTATTTATATGTAATTAATCATGATAAATTCATGCCAATGTGGGATTAGCCTACTTGGTAGAGGCTTTGCCTCTTAGATGGGAGGTCTCGAGTTCTAATCAAGACGTTGATGATTCCATGACACTAACTACTAACCACTAACCCCACCGTTCAAAAACAATCATAATAAATTCATAAAACTTGAGTTCTGATATTCCAAAAATCTTTGAAATTTTACACAAACCAGATAAAGATTAGAAACTATTATGATAAAATTTTCAAACATTTTTATGACTTTTTATTATTTAATCATATTTTATTGCTTTTTTAAGATATAAATTATAATAAATAGTTAAACATATCCAAAAATCATAAAAATTTTGCAGGGACACTATACCCACTCTTAAGTAAAAAAAAAATATAAATGTTGGTTGGTTTTGGAACTGTTTTGGTAATATTCTCAAATTTATGAGACTTAAAATGTATAATAAAACTCTTTTGTATATATCAATTGAGCAATTTCTATTACAAATGTTATTGCAAACATTCTAATATGTATAAAATATATTGACACTGAATATAGAGACTACATAAAATAAGTTAAATTTTCAAAAATAAATATAAGTTTTAAGGCATTTTATAATAGTATAGTATCTCAGTATTACTTGAATTCGAGATCCAGGCATAAAGCTTACTAGTATCTTTACGTTTCGTAGGATCAAAGTAGGATTGGTCGTTCGGGTTTCTGTCAGTAGATCAATTGTGGTTTGTCGATGGATTAATTGTAGATTGTCTATGCCCATTATTGCGCGTATTCACAGCCCCTTTTTACTGTTTTCATATTTTAGGGTGAAAAACATGTTCCTATTATACAAAATGTTTGTACTATTTTATGACAACTCCTCACTCACACCGAAATGTGAGTGCAAATTACCGATGTACTTCTTATGTTAACGATAGAACATAGAGCTTGATAGGGCAGTGCAGTCGTAGGCTTGGTTGTGGGCTCAATGCATTAGCATGTACCATTACTTTTGCTTATAAATTTACATAACAATTACTTACATGTTTTTGTATACTTTCTCGATTGGTAGTTTCATGTCAAACAAAGTTTGGATTTGTATATCCTAAGTTTCGCAAACCTGTGAACTCGCCAACTATTTTGGTTGTTGACCTCTCATTTTAACATGCTTTTCAGAAACTCGTCAGTAAGAAGACACTTAGGGATACACCACTTGTAGAAGCAATGTGCATGTGTTCATTTTTATTGTACAGTAATTTCTTAAAACAATGTTTCAAAACTTTTGTAAACTTTAATGCTTTTAAAATACTATGGTTGGTGTTATCTTTTACCTTATGCTATGGAACATTTTCTTATTGTACCTTGTGTTTCCACTTTAGTGCGGTGTGACAACCAGATTCTTCCTTTGAAGTTCGTGGAACGTCATATAGGTACGGGTATAATCTTGTGGACGGGATCTATCCAGAGCACGCTTGTTTTGTGAAGTCACTGTCTTGTCCAAATGAACGATAAAGGTTGAAGTTTAAGAGAGCTCAAGAGAAAAACAAGAAAGGATGTTGAACGAGCGTTTGGCGCTCTTAAAAAGCGTTGGCATATACTTAAATATCTTGAACCTTATATGGAGATGAAGAAAATGAGTGAGGTGATGTATACTTATATCATATTGCATAATATGATTCTCGAAGACGAAGGAAATGAAATATGTGAGTAAACGAAAACGAGATCGTTCCACAGAAACAACCTTTTAAGGTTGGAAGCGACGAGGAGACCAATAATTCATGATGTTGAGAGCCATCATGTTCTTCGTAGATACCTAACGGAACATATTTGGACTGATGTCACATCGATCTTAACGCGGAACCTGTCAATGATTTAGAAAAGGAAATTTTCCGATGAAGATGTACTTTAGCTCTACCTATAATTCATTTTTTAATATGTAGGTTTCGTAATTTCAATTTATGTGTTTTGTATTTTTAAATTCTTTTTTTTGGGTTTCTTGTAATTTCCTTTCAAGTTTAATGAATATTAGTTTTAAAATTACTTGTTCAAGGATAAATATTTTTAATATTATTAATTTACAAAAAAAAAAATAGCATTGCATACGTGGCAACCCACGTGGCGTAAATGGCAAATTATGGCTGCAGTGTGGCAAATCTAACGTGGCGCCTAGGTGGATCATGGCAAGTGTGACACCACTTCCCCGCCTTAAAGACTAAATATGCTTTCTAAGTAACGTGATTGCACTTACTTCCCCAACTTTGCAGAGAATCCACCCTGATGATGTATCACTTGAAAGTACTCTTATGGCTGGATGACATGTCAACCATATTATGTCATGCACATCTGGTGGTAATGACTCCACACTTCAACTTTTTGATAGATTCCTGTCAATATGAGTGCACCACCCTTTTCTGTCATTTCTTCTCAAAAAAAAGATGCCCATCAAACTCTAAACATTTTTCTCTTGTGGGCCACACATCAAACTCCATACATTTCTTCTGATATGTCGGCTGAAATTTTTACAAATAAGTGCCCCCATATACTTGAAGCACACCATTTGATCATAACTCCACACTTATTCTCGTGGGTAGACCTATCTGAAAAAATGCCCAGTTTACTTCTCTTGCTCATAAATATGCATGGCTTCTCAGTTTCTTTCCTACTCACAACCACAACCTCAACATTTCTTCATAGTCTGTCATCAAGGAAATGTCGTCTGTCACAAAGTCAATCAGAGGGTGGTTGGGTAGGAGTCATGCTAACATGGAGAAGAATGATAGTGACTACTACTGTACACCAGCAGCCAAGTTTGAAGGAGATGGAGACGATGATGATGGAGATTACGATTATGCCCCTGCAGCATAATTTAGTTGATGAACATTTAACATTAACTGTAGCATGGTGAGGGACCACAAAACTATTCATGGAGCTTTTGTAGATTTTTGTATTACTAATGCAATACTGCTAAATGGTTTAGAATGTAAAACTATTTTTCCTACTTCTTATAAGATGTAATTGTCTACTAATCAACACATATGAGTTACAAAAGGCAAGCTAAATGATGATCCTAGTTTCGTGTGTTTAATTAGTTCGTTATTTTTATGTGTTCAAACAATATGATTTAGTACGTATGATTTATGAAGGCAAGCCAAAAGACATATTGAGTTATGTTTGAGACTCAAAAGTATACTAATCAAGACGTAACTAGGTGAATCAGGTTAATTTGATATTCTCTGATTTTACAAATAAAATCAACAATGTTCAGGAAGATCATAAGTAAATCAAAACAACACAAATAATACCTCATTCAGTGATTTACATTTTACATTGAAAAACTATCTATTAACATGAAAGCATGTCAAGAATTTATTGAAACCAAATTAACTAACTCCACATCATATTTCTCACACACAAATGACTGTTTAAACAATGTGTTCAAACTGAAATAAATATCATTCATTTCAGGATGAGAAGCATCTCCAGCAAGAAACTCATAAACATTTCCATTAACCTCAATTGAACTACACCCAGGCTCCTTTCTAACTCCATCACCTCTCATTTTCCTTCTTACCTTCTTCACATCTTCCCATCTCCCAACAGAAGCATAAATGTTAGCCAAAAGCATATGAATACTCGAATCACCACCTTCAATTTCACTTAACCTATCAGCTAAATCCTCACCCAAATCAACATCACCATACAATCTACATGCACTCAACAAAGCACTATAAACTGGAACTAACATCTCATCTTTCTCCCTTGGGATTTTGTTAACTATCTTTTCTGCTTCTTTCAGTAGCCCAGCTCGACCTAAAAGATCAATTAAACACCCGAAGTGTTCTATCTTTGGTTCAATTTCATACACTGATTTCATCGATTCAAAATGCTTCCACCCTTCCTCCACCAATCTCCCATGGCTACATGCATTCAAAACCCCGATGAAAGTAATATCATCAGGCCTAAACCCTAATTCATTCATCTCAGAGAACAGCTTCAATGCTAAACTGGACTTTCCGTTTAAGGAAAGTGCACATATAATTGATGTCCATGAAGCTGTATCTTTCTCATGTAACCCGTGAAATACCTCAAGAGACTTCTCTATACACCCACATTTTGCATACATATCAATAAGAGCTGTTCCACATACAGCATCGATTCTTATTCTATGTTCTTTCATATATTCATGAATCCATGTCCCTTGTTTTAAACCCCCAACTTGTGCACAACCTGTTAGGAGAGCAACCATTGTGAATTTGTCAGGCTTAATGTTGTAGATTTGCATTTGTTGGAATAAGGTCATTGCTTCATCTACATGATTAAACTGTACGTATCCATTTATCATAGATGTCCATAGAACAATATCTTTAACTGGACTATTATCGAATAATTGTCTAGCATCATCTAATTTCCCACAATTCACATATCCAGACACCATACTTGTCCAACAAATTACATTTTTATTTGGTAGCTTGTTAAAAATCTGGCGTGCTATGTGTAAACATCCGCATTTGCAATACATGTCGACTAATGCATTACCAATTTTAGTTGTAAACCCGATTAAATGAGTGACATAATTGTGTATTTCCTTCCCAAGTTCAAGATTTTTTAAGGCTATACAAGCTGAAAGAGTGCTTACGATTGTAGCCTCTTCAGGCTTTACACTTTTCTCTTCTCTCATTTGCAGATAAACGTTGACAGCTTCCTCAAATTTCTTACACTTAACATACCCTGAAATTAAAACATTCCATGAGACTGAATCTCTTTCAGGCATTTCATCGAACACCTTACGCGAATCCTCAATGCGGCCCAACTCACCATACATATCCATAACCGAGTTACATACATAGCAATCAAACTCATCCCCAGATTTGACGACAAACCCACGAATCTTTTCACCAGTGGAAGCTTCTCGTAGATGCCCGATTGATTTAAACACAAACGGGTAAGTATAATTATCCGGCCATAATCCATCTACCCTCATCTGATCAAACAAAAGAAGTGCTTTCCTGAAATGGGCGCTCTTTGTGTATGCTTTAATCATTACATTGTAAACGAGCAAGGAAGGGGTTTCGATTCTGTCAAAGATTTTTTGAGCGTAGAATAAGTTTCCAACCGATGGATCTGCCGAGAAAGCCACGAGCTTCTTGATAGCGTCTACGTTTTGAGCGAGACCAAGAACAACAATTTGGGTCTGGATTTGCTTCAATTGGTTCATGGATTTGCAGTTTTTCAGGAGATGTATGCATGTTTTGTTGGTGGGGATCAAGAAGTTTTGGGTAGTTGAGAAGTAATGTGTTCTTAGATGGTAAAACTGTCGGGAAAGAAACGTGACGATCGAGTAATTGCTGAGTTTCGGAGCCATGTTTTAGCTCTATTATGTGCCTTACACCCTCCTCAGGAGTTCATTAAAGGAAAGAAAAGAAAAGAAAGGAAGAACAAGGAGAGAAAAGAAAGGAAAGGGAACCGAAAGGATAAAGTATTCCGTGCTCCCGAGTTCGAAAGAAAGGAAAAGAAAGTATTCATTTTAGGTGCTCCCGAGTTAAACGGAAAGGATAAAGTATTCGGATTTATTGAATGTAATCCAGGGGCAAAACAGTCATTCTGATAAAAATAACATGTAATTAGCTAAAAAAACACATGCTTCGTTCTTATGTTTCTGTTTAATTAACAATAATGAGTAATTGTGCAGGTTCCACATAAAAGTTGGTAAAGGGTGAATTAATGTTGAACTCTCAACATGAAGAAGGGTATCTGTTGTGTACAAATTCTGTAACAACAACAGAGTAACAACACAGGCTAACCAAAAAAAAAATTGGCAGAAGTCGTAACAGAAGGCAGAAGGCGTAACACAAATTCAGTTTGTAACAAACATAAGGCAAAAGCCGATCAATCATGTAGAATAGAAGACAGAGGAATAACAAAAAAAGAACAGAATAAGAAGAAATTGTGTACCTGTGTTTGTGTTTGTAACAGAGAAGAAGACGATCAAGAAGGTAGAATAGAAGACAGGGAACGTATCCTTTTATTATTAGGCTAAAGGGTATTTTTGTCATAATCCAACCTTTTATCTTCCAGGCGTTTTCTTTCTCTCCAATTCCGCCCATTTTGGGAGGAAAGTTTGGAACGATACAAATCCTCTCAAATCTGTTCTCTTCTTCTCTTCTCTTCAAAAAAAAAAAAAAAAAACTAGGGAGCACCCAAACTTCTCTGTTTTCCTTCCAAATCCTCTCACTTCCATTCTCTTCTTTCGTTAAGTGATACTCAGGAGCAGGGTGTTAAGGTAACGTGATATTAACTTGTATCAAGCTTCTCAAGATAGGAATATACAAGCACGTTTTTTATTTTGTAAAATTGTTATCGTAAAATTCAATCTTAACATTTTACCAAAAACAATTAAATGATCGCAAGATTTTATTAAAAGCAATTAAACATATGAAAAATACGTTGATCATCTATAGTTAGCAATAAAAGTTTAAAATATGAAAAAAAAAATCCCCACTAAATTATTTAACATTAAACAATTTAAAATTGGTTTTTTTTAGAGTTCATTAGATTCATGTAGTTAGTCCAAGACAAAAAAAAAATTATAGATTACAAAAATAAATAAATAAAAACATCTTATGATCAATTTTACGATCCTACCTCCATGCTAGTAGTGAAAATGGAGCCCTTGGGCAACATTTATATATACTACCACATTATACTGATTTTAAGCATTCACACATTTATATGAGGTCGTGTCTTAAGTAAAAGCTAACATTTTCAAGTCTAACATCACCTTATCTCTTGTTTCCTTCTTGGAGCCCTCTCCTCCTTGCATGCTCGCAATGAGCATCTCGACGGTTGTCCCATGTAGACATGTCCAATCCATCGCTCTTGTTTCCCTTAAAGTCTCTATGATCGACGTCACTCCCATCGAATTCCTTATTTTCGTGTTCGGTATCTAGTCCACGGCAACATCCTTATTTCTTCGACCTATGCCTTCTTCCCGTTTTCTTTTTTTAATCGTACAACATTTAGATCCATAAAACAAAGTAGGTCTTACCGTCACCATATATAATTTTTCCCTGGTTTTTGTTGGACGTTATTATCATACAAAAAATTTATGGTTGTTTTCCACTTTCATCATAACTCCATTATGTGGTGGGTGATGTCATCCTTGATACCATGTTGCTTATCGATCATTGACATAAGATATTTGAAACTCTCTTTTCAGTGTAGAACATGACCATTGGTACATACTTCAAACTATGGGAAAATGACACATACGACCTATGAACTTTCTAGGGTTTACCCTTTTAGTCACTTAACTTTTCAAGTGGCTTTATGAGGGAACGAACTTTATTTTGTCCGGTCGATTACATCATTATTTAATTGGTGAAGAGGTCATCCAGTCATATTTATGCCACCTGTGTTAGTTAACCCCTTGGCTTGCTGACTGTGTATGTCATGTCATTTAATAATAGTTTTACTTAAACGAGATCTTTTCCCGTCGACTGTTCACCACTTCCATCTCTTTCGATAAACCCTTACTTGCTTTCGTCTCCTCAAACCGCAAACATGGATCCCGTATTCATCCAAGTCGATGCATTTCCAAGGAATCTTCGCAAAATACCCCATACGTTACACCGGGGGGGATTACTCAGAGGTTATCGGACATCGATTTCGCAGGCATGGACAAGAACGGGTGTTATGAGTTTATCGAAAGGTTCACTGGAGAAAAGTGTGAGAGGCTCTATTATTGCCAACCATATATTAATTTTCCCAAAGGTTTGACCTTAATTTCCAATGAGATGGATTATGCCGATTTTATAGCAATAGCTTATGAATGTGGTGTTATACTCCCTATGTATGTAGACCATTTGGTAATAGTAACATGCATGAATGGTTAGAAGAACACAAAGAATAGGTTGTTGATAACATAGTGGAAGAAGTGATTGATGGTGCATGACTAATTAAGGAAATTGAGACATGCCATTTGGATGAGGATGAGGATGACCATGGGGTTGAGGATGTGGATGCTGATGAAGATGAGGATGACCATAGCAGTCCTCATTTTTTCAAAAAGGATAATGGCCTTGATGTCGACATGGGTGAGAATGAAGCTTTGGGTGACCCTTTGGAAGAAGCCATGGATGACAATGAAGATGTTTATCCTGAGTTGCCAAATATTTTCAATGAAAAGTTGCACTGGAAGGAGCAGGAACTTGTGTTAGGCATGAGGTTTGAGAGTCCTAAGCAATTGAAACACATGCTCTGTAACTATGTTGTTGCAAATGGTTATCAATTATGTTTTGTGAAAAATTATAGTAGACGGTTGCTAGCCAAATGTTGTGATGGAAAATGTACATTTAGGCTTTGGGGTTCATGGATGAGTGATGATAAGTCTTTCCAAATCAAGTCTCTTATTAGTGACCATAATTGTTCAAAGAATTTCAAATTCGGATCAATTGTCACGTATAGATGGATAGGTACCCACTTTACCCAACAATTTTTTAACAATTAAAAGATGAGTGTGAGATTACTTAGAGAGGAGGTGAAAACCACTTTTGGCATTATTGTGAGTATAAGTTAGTGTAAGAGAGCCAAGAAGTATGCATTGAGTCTAGCTGAAGGCATGGTTGCATAAAATTATGCTAGAATATGGTCTTACGGTGAGGAGATTAAAAGATCAAATCCTGGATCCACTGTTAAAATTTATGTGGATACAATGTCTGATGGTAAGAATTACTTCAGCAAGATTTACATATGCTTTGCTATAGTCAAAGAGGGGTGGAGGGGAGGGTGTAGAAGGATCATTAACTTGCATGGTTGTTTCCCGAAAAGTTTTTTCCAATGTGAGTTGCTTTGTGCTGTTGGTAGAGATGCTAACACTGGAATATTCCCAATTTCTTAGGAAGTTGTATATGTGAAAAACAAGGAGAATTAGAAATGGTTCATTGAAAATCTTTCAGAAGATTTGCAGTGTTGGAATGAAGGAAGTGGTTTGGTTTTAATTTTTGATCAACACAAGGTATTTTTGTAAAATATTAAACATAGTATAATAAATATTTACATTTCTAACTTCACCTATTACTGGTACATATGCAGGGTTTGGTTGAGGCAATCAAAGAAGTATTCCCAACAGCAGAACATAGGCAGTGTGCTAGGCATATATATGCTAATTTTAGAAAGAAGTTTAGTGGAGTCAAGTTTGAAATTTTGTTTTGGAGAGCAAGCAAGGCAACAACTGAAGCACATTTTAACATAGTCATGAAAGAGATTGAAAAGTTGAATCCTGAAGCCGTTAAGCATCTTATGAATAGAGATCCAAAGACTTGGTCTCTAGCTTTTTTTAGAGTTCACAATTCATCTTGTGAATCTATGGAGAATGGCTTTTCAGAGAGCTTTAATAGTGTCATTTTGGATGCTAGGAAGAAACCTATTATCATCATGTTAGAGGACATTCGTATATATGTGATGCAAATGATAGTGATTATGAAACTAACAGGTCAAGCATAGAATCATTATTATGTTTGTCCAAACATCAGAACAAGAATGAATATTCTCCAAAATGAGCAAAGGTATACATACTTATTTATTCATACATACATTACCTCTCTCAACTCTAAACATTTGCATTACATTATGTAGGCATTGGCAGGGTGTGTCTTGTAGGGGTATGAAGTTTGAAACAAGGAAATGGATGAGTCGTACATTGTTGATGTCACAAAAAAAGAATGTAGTTGCAGTTTATGGCAACCAAATGGGTATGGTTGTGTTCATTCAGTAGCTACATTAGCATATTTAAACAAAACACCTGATGGACCATATGTAGACCCATTGTACCTGGGAGCCTTCTTCCATAATGCCTATAAACAGTCCATTAATGGCATGAATGGGATGAACATGTGGCCTTCTACAAACTTTATACCTCCATTGCCTCCTTTAAAAAGAAGAATGTCAGGCATGCCAACAATGAAAAGAATAAGGGATGCTTCTGAAAGGTCTAGAAAAACACACGGTTTCAAAGGCATGGAAAAAGGTTTCTTGTGGCATATGCAAACAGAAAGGGAACAACAAGACCACTTGCACTCAAGTGCCAAGACCTCCTAAAACTAATGTCACAAAGAAATAAAAGATCATGCAAACACAAGAGTCGGTGAATATGCAAGGGGGTGGAGAAGATGTTGTTATGGGTGATGCAATTGAGTCACAAACTGATGAAGTTATGAGGGTAAACGAATATGAGCAAGTGGTGAGGGTTAATGAAGTTGAGGAACTTGGAAGGGTTAATCAAGTTGTTGGCCATGTGTATACTACAGGTCAACTAAGCAAGAGGAAAAATTTAGAGAGAATTCTTAAACTAAAGCTTGCTAAAAG